TAATGATTTGCTCATGACATACGGTTCGGTCACAATTTCCAGATGTCTATGATCCATTTGGGAAGGACATGGCGGAATCCATGAGTTTCCCAGCAAAACCATGGAGAGACGCCAAATCTTTCCGTGCCATACTGTGGCTGATGTAGAATCATTCATTCGGCAAACTGCGTCGGCTCGAGGCCCTCCATAGACCATTTAACCGAAGGCCTTAAAAGGGAAGTTGCCTTTTCAATGACTGTTCGATTCAGGCCAAAATGTGGGGCCTTGGCTTGTTGTGAGCCAGCAAGGCTTCAGGTAATCATCCTATCCTTTTCTTCCATGCTTTCTGAGAGTCTCAACAGCCTGGTTTTCCAATGGGAACTATCTCCTTTGAAATAGGGGATAAACATATCCAACAAAAGTCAGAGTCTTTGGAGTAGAGGGGCGGGGGGCACTAAAGCGCTCGCGGTGTTATTTGACCTTGGCACTGGCAAGCTGGCAGACAACTGAACGAGTGGGAGCGAGCTTATCAATGCGATAGACCCGATTTGTCAACCTGACGGATGAATAAGAGATGGTTCCCCCGAAAAAATGAAAACCCCCTCGAACTGAGGTGCCCTGGTTTCTCATGACTTTGAGGGTTTGGAATTCCCGGTTTCCCATGTCCAGCCCAAGCCAAGCGGACGGAGCCGCGGGCTGGGTATTTGCTACGCAGGATCAACGAGACCGTGCGCTTCTGGGCGCTTCTGAACTTCACCGGGGGCTATGCCATGGATCTGGTGAACCCGAGCGTCAATGGCGAGAACTTGTCAGGCGGGCTGAGGTTCGCGCGAGCAAGCTGCCCATAATGTTAGCCCCGGATTAAGAAACCCCTGGTGGATTAATAGGGGTGTCCCCCTTTAAGTGGGGATTCATCACTTTTGGAGGGAACACCCCCCTAATAATTGGTTTATGCAGGGCAACTCCCATCCACAAACTTTCTACCCTTGAGGGGCGAATGGGAGCGACTGTGTTTGGTGTTTGGGGAGACGTGCTCGTTGCAAAACAATCTATCCACTTGGCTCTCTCTGGTTTCTGCTGACGAGCAGTAGCTGCCCGGAACACTCCCAAGCCGGTGCTTTCGGCGATTCGGAGTCTACTTCTCCCCTGGGACCCAGCTGTGTTCGTGTTTCCGTGGTACCAAGGGAGGCCTCGGAAGTTCTGTTTTTGTTTTGTTTTTTTGTGGAGAAAGTGGGCCCACTTTGACTGGGCTTGATGCCGTCAGCTCAGCAGGTAGCAAATTGGTCGGTGCAGCTGGGGTCTCGAGGCAACTTCAAGCTCAACTACCTGGGCACGGCCGAGAACGTGGCTCGACGGAGGTCTTGGCGTGAAATCCGGAGACCCCCAAAACCCCCGGAATTTGCGAGGAATCTCCAGCGGTGTAGACCCGCTTTTCCGGGGCTTCATTCCAGTGCCCAGGCGTGTGGCTGCGCCTTGAAAGGTCGCATTCTGTTTATGGCCTCCCAAAACACACGAGATTGGGTTAAAATAAGACCAGCCGGCTAGCAGAAGAAAGCAGCTTCCGTTGTGTAAGCCGACCATGAGTTGAGGCTATCGAACTGTTCATGCGACACGGTGTTTTGCAAAAGCACGAGCTTTGCAAAGGCGCATGCACACTCCAATTGGTCTAGTAATCCCCAGCTTCATCAAACAAAAAGCAAACACAGTGAATCGACCTGACCTGATAGCTGGTCCAAGCCTGGATTCCACCTGTTGTCTTGCGCTTTCAGCGCTCCGGATCCTCGGCGCGAGCTGTCACGACCTTGCTCAATCATGGTTGTTCCGAGCCGGATGACCCAACCCCAGAAATTCGCATTGGTTTCCACTGGTTTGTCACATTCGGAGAGGTTTCCTTTGGCTGCCTTTCCAACATTTTTTCTACAAGGAAGTTCTTTCGCAACGCTGATCCTGGGGGCAATCAATCAGCCAAGGCCTCATGGCATCGTGGGTTGCCATGCCATGAGGCCTTCATTCTCTACCTCATCGGTGCGGCGCTCGCCTTCATCATCTTCCTCATCCCGCCCATCACTTCGCTCTACCGGTCCCAGAACCGCGTGGCCACTCGGCTGCAAGCCCGAATCAAAACGGAGACTCGTTGTTTTGCGACTTGGAAGACTCAAGTTTGGCAGAGTGTGTTTGGGGGGGGGGGCGGCTATCCACAAAAAGAGCCGGGCTTCTGCTCTCATGCTCTTCCTAGATGTTTTGCTTTCTACCTTTGCATGCTACCGATGCTGTCTCAAGGGGATCCGAATCAAAACAACACACCGCGAGCCAAGGTTGTTATCATGAAGGAGATGTCGGATCTTATTAAGCGCCTCGGTCGGGGGGGCAGGTTGGGTGGGGAAGTACCGCAAAGAGCAAGTTGCCAAAACGCCAGTTCCCGTCAGGATTTTTTGGCAGTGCTCATTTGCATCTCCTTTTGCTTAACGTCGGCGAGGCGCGTGCATCACTACTACTCCGGGAACACGCAAACCCTGGAGTGCAACTACATCAAGGACTGGCTCAGGTGAAGGATTTCATTGCCAAATTGAAGACATGGAGGAATCCACAAGTGAACTGAGAGCGGCATGGAGTTTCAGGAAAGTAGTGCAACATGTCCGTATAGACAGCAGACGCAAGGACTTTGGCAATCTGCCAGATCAAACACAGATTTGCCCAGATGCATGCAGATATGCCTCTAAAAACCAAATGGCTATCAGCCACCAGAAGTGCAACCAGCCACCAGAAGGGATTCTTCTTTTCAAGAAGAAGCTACGCAGGAATTCGGTAGTTTGTAACCCAAGCGCAAGTCCGGTCGGGGGACGACGCTGCCATGTTTCTGGTGACACGGACCCCCGGGGTTGGGAAGTGATGCGTTCTGAGCGAGCAGCTTCATTTTGTCCGTGCTAGGCATGAAAGACACTGGGCAACTGCGCAGGGCCCAGCCTGCGCATGAAATCCTGATGGAAAATCGCGCCAATCCTTATGGATGCCACGTGGCCCCCTTTTGAATGGTTTCAAAGACATGCCAGAAGGCAACAACCGATTCTTGGGGCCTATTTTTGAAAAACCCCTATTACCAGGGTTTCCCTTGCAACGTGTGGCTTATCCATCGTAGCATGGGGTTTGTGCACAGAAAGTACTGCCTCATTTCCATCTGCCGCGTACCCGCCTCGCTGTGCTCATCCATGCAAACATGCATGCTCACAGACAAACTGTTCGACGAGTTTTCTCTTCCAAGTATGCACATGCCTACCCCTCCTTTTGCAGGCAGCACGCCACTCGTTCCACACTGCAGGCAAAGCCGCCCAACATCGTGATAGGCCACGCCTTCACCTCCACTCTTGCTTGTCCAAACGAGAATGCACCCACTCACGCACAGGAACTGAGCGCCCTGTAGACATGCTTGAAGCTGTGGATCGAAGCTTGTGGAAGAAGCCATTTGTGCATGTTCATGAGCCAGAATGGTAGCGTCACTCAGGCTCAAGTCTTTGTCTGAACCCAAAGGGGAAATTCAGAGAATTTCCGAGCGCCTTCAACTTGACTGCTGACCCGAAAACAAGATCTCTTGCCATCAGAAGCGAACTGCTTGCACGCCACTTGCTTTCTGCGTCCGAGACGATCAGTAGCAACTTTGTGTCTCACTCACGACCTGATGGCTCAAACGCGAGCTACTGTTGGCATTTTCTCGCCGGCGAGCCGCTGTATCATGTTTTGAGCCTGTAAGTTCTCAATCCAAAGGGGGATGGGTGAACTATGATAGTGGGTGTGTGCAAGCGAACTGGCGCCGGGGAACCCGGTAACATGGTTCATTTCCTATTGGATGCCTTTCAAAAACCATCTGAAAACAAGAGGGCTCCCAGAGGCTATTTTCAGCGGGTCTTGTCCCGTGCCGATCTTCGGATCTTCGCGCGAAACGCCGCCCGCTGGCGCCAGGAAGACTTCAAGATTCTCAGGGCGAGGTTGGCGGAGGCTGAAAACTATGGCTCCCAGGCTTCCAAATTTGGGATCTGAAAGGATCTGAAATCTGGGGGTGCTTGTAGTTGCTGCTTGTACTTGCTGTGGATGGACGAAAGCCATTCTGCACCACCTAAGAAACATATAGCATCTGACGATTCCCCTGTAGATAGCAACAAACAATTGTTATGGTTTCTTAGGTGGTGCAGGATTTTGTTCATCCACAGTCCACCCTGGGTAAATGATTCCACCCTTGGAGAAAAAGACCCATGTGCAGGTTGAAACCAACTGGTTTGAACCTGAAGTCAGCCACCATCTTTACATGGTCCACCCCGTTGTGAACGCTTGAAACAATAGTTTTGACAGATTGAACTCTTGTCGAGGTGCCCTGGTAGGGGTATGATGGTACGACTTTGGACATACTATCCTCTCATACTTAGATGACCACCCCACTTGATGAGTGATGAATATCCCTGCTTGACCTACAAGTCCCCGTACGTAGGCCAATGCTACTTAGGGGACTCATCATTTGGGGACATTGAGGACTCACCTGACGTGGGACCCGTCCAAGTTTGGGCATCAGGGCCCCACCCGTACTTTGGCTTTGTCTTCGCAGCTTCGTTGCTCTCTGCTCCGAGCCCCCAGAAAGCCGAAGATGGTTCTCTTTTGTCTCCTTTGGAGGCTTTGGTTTTGGTCTTTTGTTGCTTGTGCTCAGCAGGGAATGAGAATTGGAATGACCCCCATAATCCATCCAACTGGTGGTTTCCTTTCAGGGAATCCCAAAACGGTTCATTCCATTTCCTCATTCCTACCGAACACGCACCGGCAAGGTTTTTTTTTTTTCTTTAAGGGTCCTTTTGGCTTCGCTTTCTGAAACAAAACCGACGGCAAGTCCAAATCCGCCGCGGGGAAAAAAGAGAGAGAGAGAGAGCGAGCCGAGGCGTGAGCTCCTGGTACGAGTCCTGCGGGCGGAGCAAGAAGCGCTACATGATGCTGAAGCTGGTCCACCTGATCAAGGCGCGCACCGGGGAATCCCCCTTCCCCAACTTTTCCCTGCGAACATGAGCTCTGGTGACCCATGTGAATTTGAAAAGCCAAAAAGGGGGGGGGGTAAAGTCGCTTGGTGGGCTGCACAAAGCTCCTAACCTGCCCGAAATAGAAGTTGGCCCGCTTGGGCCGAGCTGGGTTCGCCTGTTTTTCGCTGTCCTTTTTGTGGGAGCCTTTGGGCAAGAAGGCTTGAAGGCCAGTCAGCCTCTGTTTCTGGCGGAAAGCCCGGGTCTTGCCTTGAAAACCAGGGACCTGCCTCGTTCGTTGGAGCTGGGCGATTGCACGGCAAGCACGCCCTTCTTGGCTTGTTGGCTCCGGACCAATAGTGTCCAAGCTTGTGAGCTTGATGTGCCCAGCCATGTCTTCGGGTTAGCATCCGAATTTGTGACATGACTTTGCGCCGAGATGCTGGAACATATTTGCCGCCAAGCATTTGGGTTTGCTCCTTTCGGAAGCAATGGACATTTGGACTCTGGTAATTCAGGCTGCTGAAATTCGGACGGACCCCAAATTGTGGAGGACCTCATGGAGTATGCGGAGCCTTTGCTGGAGGTCATCTCCAAGGAAGACTTTAAAGAGAGTGCCTGGGCATGGGCAGAGCATTCTTACATTGGCATAGGAAACATGGAATTCAAGCGCTTTTTTGGTGGGGTTGGGCGATGGCTAGATTCTGAAGGTATGTGCTGAAGGTGTGTGGAAGCTCACTTGAATCAACAAACAATTGTAATTGCATTGTGGATTGGACGAGGTCACAAGCACATATTTCATTCACCCGCGGCTTCCCTGCTCCCCAATGCTGCTCGCAGGGACAGTCGCACTTGGTGTGCTGGGGAAACCTACGGAGAACCGCCAATGTGAAGGTTTGCCTTGGCAGAGCAGAGCGCTTGTTTCTGCTGTGTACGGGGTGCAGGTTCCCGTCTGTCATGGCTGCGCGGCTACGGGTCCATTGAAGTATCAGAGTCACTTTGGCGAAGATGAACACACCTTTCCCAAAGACATTTTGAGAGCAACCGACCACCCAGCAATACGCCCCCAGAAGCATGTTCACCTGAAAGCTTTTCTTGCTGGTTGGAATGACCCAGGGTTTGGGAATGAACCTAGAAATTCCCTTAAAGGAAACCACAAGGGATGGATCATGGGGGTTCTTGCTGAGCACCCGCAAGTCTTGTGAGTTGCAACCGCGGAACTTCTGAGGTCACACCATCATGATGCGATACGTTCGGAGCCCTTTGGGCAAGGTCCTGAACTGTGGCTCGGCAGGGGCTTGGCTATGTTGATCCTCCTCGGGGGGAGGAAATCAAGGGACCTTTCAAGGGGAGAGAGTTGCTCTGTGAGGGGCCCAGTCCGGTTGGTTTCTCGTTTTTGTTCTCAAGGCCAAAAAGCAATCAGGACTCATAACCTCCCATTGCCACGCAGGTGGATTGATCCCCTTTGCAGATCTACCATCGCCCTCCACCAACCTTCCCCCTCCAACCCTACCCTCCGCAGCGTGCCACCCCCGCCCAGGCACCATGGACATCGTCCAGAAGCTCATCGCCGCCGCGGAGGACGGGGACATCGACCAGGACGAGCGGAATCACCTGGAGGCCAGCCGCCAGCCGGACGGAGCCGAAAGCCGAAAGCGCATGCGCGTCGACAGGAGACAGGTGGGGACAACACATCAGACCACTTGCCTTGGAAGAGCCACGTCGACAAAAGATTCCGCAAACAACAGGCTTCTTTTGGTGACCGCTTTTTATGCCTCGAAGGTGGCAAAGAGATCAGGCGTTTCCAACACAGAACCTGGCGACTTTTTGACCTCCATTGTGCCTTTTGGTTTGTGGGTCCCAACACGTTCCCCCATTTAAGTCCAAGGGGCAAACTCCGGTAGGGCACGGTGAGTTTGTTGCTGACGCCCCCCCCACCCCCCAGCAACTGTTGCCTATAAGCCAGCAACTGGCAAAAAGCGACCGTGGGCTTGTCTCCAATTTGTGGATCCCGATCCCTGTTTGGTTTCTCTTACGATGCCATGTGGTGAACGTGATGCACCTCCGGCTGCATCCTCTGGTATTGCTTTGGTTTGTTTTTTGGCTTTTGGTCCAAACCTACCAAAAGGCAGAGGCACGCGTACTTAGAAGAACCACATGGTTACTGGGGGTATGGGACACATATACGGTGCAGTCTGGGAGTGAAGCGGGCTGAGCATGATTTGATTAATGCGCCATGTTCAAATCACGGAATCAATACTTGGCACATCCTAAGAATATACCCAGCAACGAAAACAACAAATCCCTGGTAAGGCTTTGCTAGGCATACGTAGAGAATTGAGTACAACTAGAACAAAGTATATGCTGTATGTACATTCTATACTTACATTTGATGAATCTTTTTATTAGGCATGTGCTTCAATGAAGTAGGCACATTCTAGACACATAGCAGGCTTATGCTTGGAATCTGTCAAAAATACTAGACTCGACAAATGCTAGGTCTGTGCTGGGTGTTTGCTGGACATGCGCTAAGACAAATAAGGACTACGCAAGGGGCATGCAGAACAAGTGTTAGAATCACCAGTGGACTGATACTGTTGCACAAAGAGGAGAGATTGCGCCTGGGTGCACTTGAAAAGTATGGCTGGACGATTGTAGATGAACCAACACCAACAACAAAGACAATTGTTGTTTGGTTCTCTTGACGTTTTCTACAGTTTGGCCTGAAAACCAAAAAACTCACGCACACACACACAGACGCTGCGGTCCTCCTTGATGGAGGGGTTGGGGGTTGGGAGTTGGGGGTTTGGGTTGGGCTCATGCAGCCCCCCGAAGACTCCCTCGCACTCGAATGCCGGAAGCAAGCTGAGCGTGTTGTGAGTGACAGACGCATAAACACGTCATTTGGGGTCCATCTGAAGGGGTGTCCCTTTGTGAATGTTTGAAGGGGAAGCATAGGGAACTCGGTTTCATTCATTTTTACAAGAGCCACATTGCCTGAAGGGCAGGTCAAACAGATACAGATGGAGGAAATGCACGCCGAGAGAGCACGAGCTCGGATTGGCGGTGCCCAGTCAGTTGGTGGCTTCATCCTTGGTGCATTCCTGGCCAAGAGTGTGGGGAAAAGCGAGGGGAGCTGTGCCAAAAAGAAATCAGAACGCACATGGGCGCCAGGAAGACATCTCCCGCATGCCAGCGCTGGTGGAACATGTTCAGAACAAGGAGGGGTGCTCGGCGATCGATCCGGGCTTCAGGCTGGCCATCTTTGGTTTCCGACCAGTTCGGAAAATCTTGAAGTTCAGCCAGTGCCATGTTTTGCTCTGCGCCTTTTTTAAATTCCCCAAATGGTGGTAGCAATCGTTTCGCTTGGGGCCAAGGCCCTCTGCCGCTCGCCGCACGGACCTTGGCCCATCGAAAGACATAAATGAAAAGAGTGCGGAAGTTGGTGACGGAACCAGCCATCGAGGCTAGGGCATTCCCTGCCATGAGCAGGCCAGGGCATTCCCATGTGGGTATCACCAGGGGACCGCAGGTTTTAGTCCTTGGGTTCCATGTTGGGTACCTAATTTTGACCCACAGCCATGCTATCATCCAGAAATCGCGAGGGTTTTTGAAAGGTCGAAGAAGTCTGTGAGGGACTCTCCCACAGAATTGTGCAACGGTGCAACGCTTGCAGAGTTGTCTATCACATCTCTCGGCAGCCCAGACGATTTTTCGGGTCCCGAATTTTCGGAACACACGACCAGCAGTTCTTGCACACGTTCTAGCCAAAACCTGTAAGATGGTGCCAGGGAAAATCCCGCGTCAGGGACTTGCCATGCAAGCGTCGGAAGTGCAACTTGTTTTTGTCTATGTTTGGCGCAGGTTTGGTCAAAGTGGCTCGTCCGCGGTCCATGTTTCGGGTGGTTCCCCCCGCAAAAATTCGGGGGCCTGAAAGGCAAAACCTGCGGCAGGTGGTGGAGGCCACCCGGGAGTTCGGCAGCAAGAGGATCCAAGACGAGGCGGAGATGAGTCGGGCGGTGCGTCCGGATCCAGGTAGCTCATGGAGTCCAGATTCTGAAACAAGGGTCTTGGGTGTCTTGAACCTTGAATAATAGATCCGAACGTGCTTTGAAGCGCTTTGAAGCGTGCTGGGGGGGGGGGGGGCATACTGGGATTCAAGAGAGTGAACCGGATTTTTTCTTTTGGACATGTGCACAGTAAATATGGTGTGTTTCTCCGCCTTTTGACTCCAGATCTGGGCTATAGACCTTTCCTTTCAAGGTTCCTTTGAAACGACTTTATTTTCAAAGCTGTTGCTGCCAGATCTTTTCCCGTCAAAGCTCTTGCAAAATATGGTCGAAGTCAAAGTGTTGCTTCCGCTTCCATTGGGCTGGTAGACTCTCGCTTTCAAAGGGAAATTGAAAACAGCAGTCAATTTGAAAGCTCTCTCAGGCAGTTTTCAGACAGCCACGGTGTCAAGGCTAGTCTTTAAGGGACCTCTGAGCATCTTGTGCATTTTGTTTTCGGGCCTATATTGTTTTCGGGCTTAAGCACAGGGACCGTCGGCGTTGCCAGTGGAAGCACAACATGCTGAGAGGTCCCGAGTTTTCGGCAAATAAGGAACCCTACGCTGTGAAAAATGCGTTGGCTTGATCAGCAACATTTTCAAAATCGTCTGCGATCTGTCTAAGGCCGCGAAAAAAGAGAATCAGAAGAAAAAACAAGACAACTCGAGAAGCACCCAAAACAAAAAATACAATTCCGAAAAGAACCTTTGGTTCAGTCTTTTTTTTGTTTTGTTTTCGCGAGTTGCTTTTTCGTGTTGCTTGGGTTTGTTTGGTTTTTTGGTGCTTGACAGCAGAACACAAAACACACTCATGCTTGCTTTTTGGAGTTAGACATGTCTGGCAAATATGAAAGCACCAAAAAACCCAAGCGTTCTTTGTTTGTCAAGAACCGAAGCAAACCCAAGGAAAGCTCAACAACTCAAAAGAAGCCCGAGAAAACCCATAACACAAAAAAAGAGGCTGAACGAGGTTCTCATCAGAATCATTTTTTTGTTTTTGCTTTTGTTTGTTTTTTCGTTTGTGTTTTTGTTTTTGGTTTTCCTTGATTTGTTTTTTGTACTTTCTGGAAAAAACACAAAAGTCTAGAACTTTTGAAATTTGCATATTTGCCAGCCAAAAAGCACAAACAAACTCAGGTTTTGTCGTTTTTCTTCCAAAACGCCACACAAATTAAGGACACCAACAAAAACAAAAGCAAAAAAGGTTGAACCTAAGGTTCTCCTGGCTTTTCCCGGAGACATGCCAAGTGTTGTTCTTTTTCTCACTCTCTGCAGGGATCGGGCGGGTTGATACGCTGTCGATGTGACGCCGCGTGAAATTTGTAGAGTGCTCGATGAACCCTTTGCGGGGATATTGCGTGTCGAATTGCTCCGGCTGCATATTCGCCGTGCGAATTTGCCAAAAGGCCCCGGCTCGAAAGTCGTAAGCCAAGCACGCTTTTCCAGCTGCGGCTCGAACATCGCAACCTTCAAGCACGAAAGTAGGGCGCGAGCGCACTCCCGCAGCTGGAGTGTGGAAAGTGCAGCTATTGAGTACGCGGCTACAGCTCGAATAGATGAGGGGTAGCGCGCGCAATCACAAAGCGCGGCTTTCGCAGCGGGAGTGAAGCTCGACAATGCCAGGAGAATGAACAACGAGCATGCTCACTTGACGCGTTTCTGTTGTATGTTTTGTTGTTTTGCGACGTCGAGTGAAAGACGCTTGAAGGCAAAGGAATGCTCGACAATCGCAAGCTTTAAGTGATGAAGTAGTAGGCAAAGTAATCTTTTCCATCTGCGGCCCGAAATCCCAACTTTTAAGTACGAACGTAGTAAGTGAAGTGTGCTCCTGCAATTGGAGCTGGGAAAATAGCTTTTGAGTACGAACGCAGTAAGCGAAATATGCCTTCGCATCTGCAGCTGGAATGCCAAACTCGACCAGCTCTCAAATCGCAAAAGCAGGACGCGAAGTCGGCAGCACGAGCTCCTTTTCGAACATGGCAAGTTTGGAGAAACTACTAGTTGTGAGCAAAGGCCCTGGTCGTAACCCCTACTTGGAGGCCAAAAACACTACTAAACCACTACCAAGCCCGAAGTGGTGCTCGGCACTCGCTTAGCACCCGGTAGGGCTTCAAAACGTCTGTAGCGCCGTCTGTGCACAGTAAGGTCTTGGAAAAGCCTTTGCGAGGCCTTAGTAGGGCCTCAAGTCTCATGATGCAATCATCGTGTTTTAAGGCACCCCCTGTCATGATCAAAGCTGGCCGGATGCTTAAAAAAACCTCCGGTTTTCCAGTGTGTTTGAGCACTGACAAGCCAGGCATGTGTTTTTTTTGTTGGGGAGGGGGGAGGGTGACTATATATACATATATATATATATATACACATACTTCTATGTATACATATAACTCCAACTCAAACACGCCAGAGGCGAGCCACTAACTAAGACACCTCAACAGGCAAAACAAGTGCAAGGGCTAGTCTTGTAGGTTTGGGGTTTTAATCCTCAAGAGTATGGGTCAGTGAAGCCACTCGCCTTCGCACTGTTGAGCTCCCTGCTCCAACAAAGGATTGGTGAACCCCAAGCAAGAAAACCAGATTTGCGCGGGCGATTTGTCGGGGGGTCCTGAATGTTTTTTCGCGCTTGAGTGATATTTCTTGGAGATGGCAAAGAGTACTTACTCTCTCTAGGCAATATGCAACTTGACTGGGGGCTCCTGGTCCGGAATTCGGGCCCAGGCTCTTTCTCCCCTCTAGGTCACACCTCTCAGGTTTCGCAAGTGTTCATATCCCAAATGTGTTCTATCATTTTCATGTGCCCTTTTTGGCTTTGGTGCAAAGGAAGCCAAGCGGAACGAGCCGCTTCCCTATCAATCTTCCAAGTTGGATAGGTGCTGGGTGAGCACTACATGGTCCTGACCATCTGCCGCATGGCGCAGCTGACCATGGACGAGGCCAAGGAGTTCTTCGTGGAAGGCGGGGTGCAGCAATTCTGCTTGCCTTTTTTTTTTTTTGTGAAAGTGGTTGCTTCGGAGATCTTTTTGGGTTGTCAAACAAGAAGCAAGAGGCAAAGGGGTCCACCATAAGAACCCCCGCTCTTGCTTTACCTGGACTTTGGCCAGAAGCCGCTGCACTGTCTTGAGCAAACAGAAGGGTGGTACTCTGCGCAAGGCGCGCTGAGTTGTTCATTCGTGCACGAGCCCGCGCACGAAAATTGCTACAGATCCCCTCGGCTGACCAGCCTGGAGGCATTGCTCCCGCGGAGCTGGGGTGGAGAGGGCCAGACCGCAAGCCACCTTCAGAGCAAACACTAACGCTTGGGTTCAGACCTTCCGTCGCACTCCCGGGGCCATGCCTTTTCCCGGGAACCCGGTCACGGGAAGCAAGGAGCTCTTCCAAAGGCGGTGGATGAGAGAAGGCGCCGCATCGTCGAGAGATCGAGGCGATGCGCTTTCTCGCAACCTATGGTCTCCCTTGACGTTGGCATCTCTACGACCGCTTTTGGGTAAATGCGTCAGATGCATAGATCGGGCCGGCTGGATGTGTGAGCCCAGGAGATGCCGAGGAGCTTCCTGCTCCCCAGTCAGTAAACACAACGCAACGCCGTTGGGAACAGTTTTCCGACAACGTACATGACTGTTGAATGCTCAACGGACTGCGAGCTGGCTGGGGAGTTAAAGAAGGCGGACGCGGCCAGTGACGCTGCCTCAGATCGCGCGAAAGAGCTTCCGTGTGAGGAAGAGGAACCATGGAACGCAATGGAAGGGCCAAGCACATCCAATCATCAAGTTTTTGTCGGTGGAGATGTAGACCTCCAGTGCCGGCCCAGTGCGGCACGCAGGTGCGGGACTGATCCGAAGAAATGGCCGCGACTGCACCACTTGGAAACCATGGGAAGCTAATTATTGTTTGTTGGTATTTGCCGGGGAATCATCATTCCAGGGTTTCTCAGGTGGTTCAGGATTTCGCCCATGCACAGTATAGCTCTTGTTGAGGCGGGGCAGAGCGTGGCGCTGCAACGCAGGAGTCGCCGTACTGGCAATGATTCCCGTTGATTCGCGGTGGCCGTTCCTCCGAGTATCGAAGGCCGCCCATGCCGGAAGGTAAACCAGCTCTTGAAAAGATTTAGCGCCTCCTGACCGTGCTGTATTTGCTGCTTTGCAGGGTTGACGCAGCAGACAACCCGGCTGATACAGCCTTTTATCTCTTCCATTGATAGCAGCCCTGGGAAAGAGGACCAAAGAGGAGCGCAAATCTCAGACAGCTTTGCCAGGAAACCTGCTGCCGCTGCCCAATATGTCTCAGAACGGCAGGTCAAGAATCACCTGCCGATGTTGCCTCAGTTCCCTGGTGGCGGACCTTCAAGGCCACTAGGGTCAGAGGCTACCATGTGAATGCGTGTGGATTCTCACATCCCGTTGCTTTCCGAAGGCGAGAGCATATTCATGCGGACACAAACCGCTTCATGTGGCTCAAGCAGTAGCTTGATCCAGAAGGGATCGCATATTTGTCACAACCACATAAAAGGGGATGGGTTCCTTCCTTTTCAACCCTCTGCAGGGCCCAGCAGCGAATTTCCATAGCTGCCATAGCAGCCTTTTTCGGTCTCCGAGCCGACTCGAGCCGTGCGGGTGCCTAGCGCGAGGCAGCGTGGATGACGATATCGCCTCCGCGTTCCGCAACTCCATCAAAGGGCTTTGCCACTTCAACCAGGGAGACTTGAAGTGCCCTGTCTGCCATTGGATCTTGCGTCGCCCTTTGCTTTGGATTTGTTTTTGCGCTCGCCTTGAAAGGTTCATATTTTTTCTGGGATTTGTGTAAGCCAAGCTGCATTTTCTCAGCATTTTGGAACAACCCAAGCTGAATAGCTCGTGAAGGCTTGGCCGCTTTCTTGATGGCCACCTTTGGCATTGTACCAAAGAGCAACTCAAACATGAGACGTGCCACATCGCGTTTGATATGGTTCTTTTGGACGACTTCGGAGGGTTTCCGAAGGCGCCATGAGCTTCGATTTTGGCTGCAATTCAACACGGTTGTTGTTCTTTTTTGATTGAAGGGAAGCCAAAGGCCAACACCCTATTTTGACACGCCACACTGAACCCAATAGGTCCATTTCGCAAGAAGGCGATTCCTCCACGAGCGGCGCTTCCGCTCGTTTTTCCGAGTCGAGGTGGGCTTTGCGCTCTTCTGTGTGCCTCTTGGTGAACTTCATGATCGGCTTCATAGGCGCGGAAACTCGTCTGGCTCATTTTGATTCGAGCCCTTCCTCTCGATTGCTCTTGGGCTGACTTTTTAGACTTTAACTTTTTGGGAAGCCAAGGTTTTTGCATGAAACCCACAAACAGTTAAACTGTTTGCAGAGGGGTCAGCGGCAACCAAGTCCTGGCAACTGGCTTCAAGACGCCCAGACGAGCTTCTTGCCGGAAGCGCGACTTTGCCTGCCTGCCGCACTCTTCCTTTGTCTCCTCCCCCGTTCTGAGTGTGGAATACACGAACACTGGGGCACGATTTGACGGTGGGCTTGTCCTTTAGGTTTCCTTCCAGACAATCTAGCAGTCATTGCCTGCAAGGCATACATCGCTATCTGTCCGGGCTGAAGTCCAGAATATTTTGGACCAATAACACACACACGCTTTTCGTTTTGGCGAGAAGTGAATCGCCAAGGGTGTGCCTTATAAGGAAACTGTCTTTGGGCCGTTTCCCTTTTCCCGAAGGGGTGTCAAGGGCCTCAAACGAAGGGCACGCCGCACGCCGCATATCGTCGCAGGCTGGTGTGCGGCGGAAAACCTCGTGCAAGTGGCGGCGGGCGAGGAGGAGGGAAACTGGGAGCGCGCGCGTGGTGGACGGTTTAGGCCGCAGCACATAGAGACCACCTGGGGGTTTTCCGGTTCTCCTCCCAGTTTTTGGGTGATTCGATGGTGAAATTTCAGGTGGTTTCAGGTCTGAACATGAAGATTGTCACCTTCACGTCTCTTGAGCTGCACCTGGAACCTTTGGGAGAGTTGTCAATTGTTGCCATGAAACGAACCACATTTGTGCGTTCACCGAATGGTTTGATTCGCTGCTGTCTATCCACCGAAGGCCAAAGCATCATCTCTGACAACACTACCTAAGATCAGCAAATCATCCTCCTAAATATGGCCGAACTTTTCTGCTGCAGGGCAACTGGGTTAATCAACGTGACATCGTCAGCATTTCCCGAACCTAAATGTCATTTTGAGGCCTCACCACCAGATTAAGGCACTTATGTGAGACCAGTCTCTCCCTGGCTTCATGCGATCGAAGAAGCTTTTGCCCAAGCCGAGGACAGTCTTAACGCTTGGAATCGACCTGGACAATTCTTTGTGACCAGCTCTTCCAAACTGGGCAGTTCTTCCCTCCTGAAACGTGTGCAACAAACATGCACCCACGTTGCCTAAACACCACACATTATGGGTTTGTCTCAAGATTAGGGGGCCCCTATGCTAGGTTTGTTTTGGTTTCCATGTAAAGCCAACCAGAAAGGGGGTCCGCAAGAAAAGACATCTAGTGCCAACTCAAACAGGCTAACAGGCTGGTCAGTGGTACTCTCCACAAGGGTCACTTGTGATCCGAAAGACCATGATCCTTTCGCGCCAGTCGAGGGATGTGGGCAGATCTTCGGAAGTCTCCTTCCAAGGTAAAGATTTCAACTGAAGCGCGCCCTCGGAACGTGCCAGCTCTACTTCCTCTCAAAGGATTTTGAGAAGCTGGGCAACCAGCTTCCGAACAGGGGCAGGGGGAGAATGGCATTTCGGGAGCCCACCGGTCCCAGAAGCCCGTATGCTTCATCCGCCGCTACACCGCTGGTCTCGCCAATATCAACGCACCTTGGCATAGTCCGGCCGCGTTGGTCGCGTACTTGACAAATCTTATGGCAGACTTGGCTTTACACTAGCCGAAGCTGTTCCTCGAATTTCCCGACTTCCGCTTGCTCCGAGGTCTTTGGAGCAACCTAGGACCCTTCCAAGAGGCAAACATTCCCTCGGTCCAATTGACACGTTCTCACCAAGGCTCCCCTGTAAATCCCTAAATCTGGCACCGAACACATGCCTGCTCACTGTTCTCAACAACCATGTGAAGGACCCCGTTGAACCTGTGGGACAGTTCACCTATGTATGGGTCCCTTCAAGTGCATCAGTTCAAGGGGTTCGCAAAAGCACTTCTGGTGGATTCCCTACAGAATGCAATGTGCACCTCGAACCTATGCCCAAGGTAAAAGGCCCTGAGGTGTAAAGATGGGTTGAATCCTGGGGCCGGCCAGTCACAGGGCGCAGGACGGCAAACCATTGCAAGAGCTCCTGGACCAGGCACGATCATGACCCCAAGAAGTTTTCACCACGTGCAATATGGATTATTGGCCATAGCATGTAAGACCTAGCCGGGCCAATCGAGTTGGGGGGATCAATTCCTCCAGGTACCGGGACCGCTCCGTCCCGCGGAAACCCCCAAGTCGTCCGGTGTATTTCGCCAGTGTCACCCTTTGGTCACGACCTCAGTCATTGCTACCCTCTCTCCAACAAAGGAAGGACGGAATCTCCCAAATGTAAACATCTTGTCCGCACCGCAACGCCGATCAGCTTCCATGCCGGAGGGTATTCCTTGGGAGTCCAACCACTTTCCCCAGCGAAGAGTTATGGAGCTTAGGTTTGTGAGGCGCGGCAAGTCGCGGGAGGGGGGGGGGGGGCAGGCTTTTCTGGGGAACCCGTTTTTGATCTGAATCGATCAGTCACAGCGTCATGGACCATGTTTGCCTCTTCAGAGCCGTATGACCAAATCTCATGGTAGGCATTTTAAGGATGGCACGTGGTTCCTCTGACGGGATTTGCGAACCCCCCCCAAATTGACAACCAAACCTCAAGGGTTGAAACTCATCATACCTCAAAGATTGAAACTGGTTTCCTTTCGTCTCCCGATAAGGGCCACATCGGGGATTCTTGAGTAGCCCTGTTTCCAAAGTCAGCCTCAAGAAATATTGAAAACCCTCCCCGGGCCAAACCACCCCATTTGGCGAAAATAGGGTAAGCCCAAAACGGCTTGCCCTGGTAAATGGACACATGGACTCAAATCTGCGGTCCAACTGTGATTTAACATTGACCCACCCCCAAGTTCGGCGACTCGAGCTGAGCTTCGATTTTCGCCCCGTTCGGCTGAGGTGGTGCTGCTGAGCCGCTACGGCGGGGGCACCTTGAAGGCGGCCTTGGACCGGGTCTCCGCAGTGGTGCTCGCCTCTGTGGTGGGCGCCTCCGGCAAAGAGAGATGCCGCCAGTAGGTTTTCTTTTTGGGTGTTTTGCTTCAAACATCGAGGGCCCTGGTTTAGATGGGAGAGGTAGTTTCCGAATTTACCAGGGTCATCTATTTTTTTTCCAAAAGGCCAGCTATGGTAGTGCCGCCTTTTCTTGCTGGTGCGAGAGATGCAGGGAAGGAGAAATGGAATGACCCCTATAAGAGCCCGTCCAACTGGTGGTTTCCTTTATGGGATCCCTACTGAGCACCACCAAGTTTTTTCCACTGATATTGTGGATGGACGCGAGATCCGCGAGTCTCGCACCACGGGTAATGAAACCACGGGAATGAAGCCATAAGGTTGTTGGTATTTGCAGGGGATCATGATTTTTGGGTTTCTTAGGCGGTGCTGGATTTCGTCCATCCACAGCTGAAAGAGGGGCAGGCTGTTCAGCGAGTCGGCGCCAGGTTGCTGTTTGGGGGTGCTCAGGGTGCTTGGTGTGCTCAAGGTGCTGGCTCAAGGTGATGCGGCGGTTTCCGGCGGTATTGTTCGGCGATTGAGTCAGGGTGCGTGATGGGTGGGGGTGCTGGTCGGGTTCTCATTTGGCGATGCAGTCAAGCTGTTCTGAGTGCTGGTGAGTGTGGTTTGGCGTTGCTGGCAGTGCTTGTTTGGCGATGGCCGGATGCTGGGCTGTTACTAATGGACTTTGGGCTCCTGATAGCGGAGCGAATCTTGCCTGAGGACAGGTCGGGTATGTCGCCTTCGGCTGGTGCACGGACACGTCCAGGCGTGGGGGTTTCTTGCTTATTTGTCATTGTCGTGCCTGATGTTTCTGTGGACTACCAAATTCTCCAGTAAACTCTTGCCTCAGACGAACTTGGAACTCACCAGAAGGCCCCAAAAATGGAGGGACATTGTCTTGCAGGCCCCAGTCAGGAGCCATGGTGGGTACATGTGAGTTTGCAAGGGAGAATCGGTTGAGGTTTGCTGTTCTGGATACCCAGGTTGGACAAGCGGAATCCGTCAACTGCCATCAACTGCACCTATCTATCCCGAGCTCTTACACACCTCTTTCACACCATGGGTTATGTAAGTCCAGCGAAATACCGGTTCCTTGACAAAGCCCTTTGGACATGTCCCGCAATGTCCGCAACTGGGAATATTCCGAATCAGGGCTTTCCCTCCCGAGCCCCAACTTCCAACGCTTAACAGGGGCTGTGCGGCAACCTTGCCAGCCGCGGTTTGGTCCTGCTTAGGCTTAATTAAGGTGCGGCTCGCGATGCAAACCCAGCAGAAATTATGCCCTGTCCAACGTGGAACCCACCGGAGGGTCCTGTTTGGGAGCATGGTCGTCCAGGACCTCGCCCCAGGTTCCACGGTTCCATGTGCGGGTTGCCGTTTTTGATATCTTGTTCATCGGATGCGGACCGTCGTTTTCAGCGGCGTTTAGGACCAAGACCTGGCCCAAGTTTGCGAGACCCGGTCAGGGAACCATGGGCATTCTGGAAAGCAACGTGTCTCCAGCTCGATACGCTGAGCAACTGAGTCGGAGACAGAAAGGTTGCCTCTGTTAAAAAGAAAGCTATCCTTACACAGTTGCAGCGACGGCCACCAACCCACACACGCCGTGAACCTTGCAAGTGACTTCGAGCAGCCTCAACGGCTCGTCCGAATGTGTTTTGGCTCCAGTAGACGCAAACCCTTAATGCTGTTCACCAATGTGTGGAGTAAAAGGATGTGCACTGGGCCTTTAAGAGGCTAACGCCTTGCTACTCCAGGGTATCTCTGCATCCATTGAAAGCCTATTCGCAGTAAAAGGCTCATCCAACCGATGGTTGGCACTCAGCCAAACCATGAGATGCTGCGTGTTTCGCTCGAAGCTCGGCGTTTCCTGCCTTTAAGTGTTGGAGAGTTAACCAGGTCTTTGCAAGTTGTTTCTTACTTGCGTCTAGTTGCACCGATGCCATCAGGTCGGTGTGGGGGATCTTTAGCATTCCGAAGCTTGCCGCACTCTCATTTCAAGCATCATTCAAGCTGGCCGCCTCTTCAAAAGCCATGATTGGAAGCAGGGAAGCCCAAAATCCTGGCAAGAACCAACAGCCGTGCAGGATCCTCACGCTGATCTCGGTCTTCCTGGTCAGCTGGATCTTCATGCGCGCCCGAGACCCCCCCCGTTTTTTGTGAAACGTCCTGGCATGGGCTGAACGGCTGGCGGAAGCCACGTGTTGATTGGCATCCACTAGACCTGCTTTCGCATTGAGGTCAGAAGCATAACTCCCAAGCAGCAACGTCATGGCCGGTTTATTTGTGCCAAGAAGTTGGCCTTCAGGGATTCTTATGCAGCGTCTGAGGGGGGAGCTCACAACGCTTGACCCATTTTTTGAATGTCGGGGTGACTTGTGAGGGGCCATCATGTGGAACCTAGCAGCCTCTTGACATGGGTATGGGTCAAAATTAACCCACCAGGGGACCTTACCCGGGTTCCATTTTGGGTACCTATTTTTGACCCAGACCCACATGTGTGTCTTGGCCCTGAGGTACTTGAATTTCGACGGCGATTCAAACACAGCGTCCATCGCCCAGCGTTTGGCAGCGATCACAGCCCCCTGGCAGGAATTCAGCAGCTGCGCAGTCCAGAACGACTGCTCCAGCGTGCCTACGCACGCACGCATGCACGCCCGCCCGGCCCGCCCAAACACACACACACACAAACACAAATACACACACATACAAACACAGACACCCACAGCCACACACCCACAAGCACACACAACCACAGACACAGACACACAGACACAAACAAACGCAGACACAAACACGCACAACCACAAACACACAGACACACACGGAGACACAGAGACACAATACACAGAGACAGACGCAGAGACAGACACAGAGACACACGCACAGACACACAAACACGCACAGACACACACACACACACAGAGACGCACACCGACACACGCAGACACACACACACACACACACACAAGCACACACAACCACAGACACAGACACTCAGACACACAGACACAAACACAAGCACAAACAACCACAGACACAGACACTCAGACACACAGACACAAACACAAGCACAAACACAATCACAATCACAAGCACAAACGCAAGCACAAGCACAAGCACAAATTCGGTCACGAATACTAATACGAACACAAGCACAAGCACAAGCACAAATTCGATCACGAACACTAGCACGAACACAAAGACAAACACAAGCACAACACACACACACACACACACACACACACACACACACACACACACACACACACACACACACACACACACACACACACACACACACACACACACACACACACACACACACACACACACACACACACACACACACACACACACACACACACACACACACACACACACACACACACACACACACACACACACACACACACACACACACACACACACACACACACACACACACACACACACACACACACACACACACACACACACACACACACACACACACACACACACACACACACACACACACACACACACACACACACACACACACACACACACACACACACACACACACACACACACACACACACACACACACACACACACACACACACACACACACACACACACACACACACACACACACACACACACACACACACACACACACACACACACACACACACACACACACACACACACACACACACACACACACACACACACACACACACACACACACACACACACACACACACACACACACACACACACACACACACACACACACACACACACACACACACACACACACACACACACACACACACACACACACACACACACACACACACACACACACACACACACACACACACACACACACACACACACACACACACACACACACACACACACACACACACACACACACACACACACACACACACACACACACACACACACACACACACACACACACACACACACACACACACACACACACACACACACACACACACACACACACACACACAGACACCAGCGCAAACAAACACACACGGACTCACAAGTGCGGGCCAATATTTTCTGTCCTCTCCTGTGGTAAATGGGATCACAGGGTGCACACACACACACACTTACACCGACCAATTTAACATGAGAAAGCGAAAGGGGGGTTTTCTTGCCAAACTGCAACGCCAGTTGGGGAGACAATTGAAAAAAAACAGATTGAGCGTGGCTCAGGTCTCAAGCCTCATGGCAGATTGCTCCGACAAGTCCAGCACTGCCAGCACGTACTCGGGGAAGTACCACGACCTCTCCGAGATCATCATCGGCGCCTGAGGTTGCACAAGTAGGGTGTTATATAGCACTACTGTAGTATTCGGCCAGCCCATTTTCGTTTTTGCAAGCTGCAAAACGAGAAGGAGCAAACAAGCACGAAATTCCAGTTTTGTCCGGCAGAGCCGGAAGTTGTAAGTTTCCAAACGTGAGAACTATTGCTTGGAGCGCTTCTTTTTCTTTCTTTGTTTATTTTCAATATTTGTCTTTTCTGTTTCTTTATCTCCTTCGTTTCTTTTTTTGTCGCTTTCGTTTCGATCTCTTATTTTTCCTTTTGTTTCTTTTTTTTATCCCTCTCTGTCTCTGTCTTTCTCCTTCTCTTGCTGTGCCTCTTTTTGTTTTGTCCTTTTCTCTTTCTCTTTCTGTGTGTTTTTTTCCGTTCCTTCTCTTTCATTTTCGCTCTGTTTCTTTCTTTCGCGTTTTCTCTTTCTTATCCCTTCTTCTTTCTCTTTGTACTTGTTTTCTTCTTCCTCTTTCTCTCTTTTGTTCTTTCTCTTTCTCTTTTTCTTTCCGTTTCTTCTTTCTCTACATATTTTCTTGTTTCTCGAGCTGCCCACGTTCGCCGCGCGCGCTACACTTGGACTTCAATGTGGCGAGTTTCCGGCCGGAGCTGCCAAAGTGCACTTCACACACCACAGTTGTACTTCAGACAGTGCCACTTTGGAGCAGGAGCTCCTCGTGTACTTGTACTTATTAGTTGAGACATTCACTTCGCGTACATGCACTTGTGCTTAAAAGTTGCAACGTTCGAGCCGGGGCAGCCAAAGTGTACTTCACGTGCTGTGCTTGTACGTAACAGTTGCGACTTTCGAGCCGGGGCAGCCATGCCTCGCGCGCTACGCTTGTTTTCCAATTTGGAGCCTGCTTCGCTGGCTATTCTAAGTGATCGTTTTTGTATCTTTAGATTCTTGCTCTCGCAATTTCGCCTTCTTGCTCGCCCCACACTTCTCACAACCTGAGTTGCCTTTTGGGTTTGCGCTACAGCCTTGATAGCAACAACCAAGTAGGCTCGCAACACTGTAAAAGCAAGCTTCCATTCAGCACGTAGAGCACGCAAAGTATACTTGGGCATCTCCGGGTCAAACTGCTTGACTTGCTTGCGCTTCGTGTGTTTGACGAAGCGCAATTTGGCAGCTCCGGCTCGATGGTCGCAACTTGCGAGCTAAGTGTAGTCCGTGAATCCTCAAAAGCCAAAAACTGCCGAACAAGACTGAGAACCCCGAAGTGGGTCGAACAGTTTATCTTAAAAAACAAACAAACAAACAAAACACACGAGCCCACTTGGGGCTTCAGCAGGCGAAAACGATTTGCCATTAACAACGGGAAATGGCCGGCTAGCTTTTACAATGGTGACAGGGATCGACTGGGTTAGGGATTCCCTTATTTAGGTTGGTGCATCATAGCAACTAATAAAGATGAAGAGGAACTGTCGCAACCATAAGTAAGGGCGGATGTCCGCCCTTTCTCTACATGGGTTTTGGGTATGCCAGGTCTTGATTGCGACTTTCACTGGGGCTGAAGGATGTGAAGGCCAAGCAGGCTATTGAGCACACGCTTAGGCCTAAGTCTTCAGGAGGACGGTTCCTCTTTCGACATCTCCCTTTCAAGCTGTTGTCCGTTTGGAAGTTTTCATTCTTTGAGGGCCTGCCCACTTCTTGCCCTGAGGCGTGATTGTCATGAACCTCTTCGACATGATTGTCGGGGACGAGTCGGCCCAGATTCAGGCATCAGAACGTCTAACGGAGGCGGTCAAGGGCTATGAGAAGGCGGGGACGGCGCCTCACCCTTGGGTTTTGGGGCCGAGCAAGAAAGTCCCCCGTGAAAGTGGCGGCATTTTCCCCAACAAAAGGTTCAATTGCCGCTTGGTACCACAGACAAAGGTTGGATTGCCCCAACCACGTGCAGGTTTCCAGATTCAAACCTGGGGACGTTGGAGCTGGCAAGCCCATGCTCAAAGCCTTCTCTGGAGTGGTGTGTGTTTTGCGCCGGCGATCGAAACACATCTTCAGCATGCTTAATCCACATGTGGTCTGGTTTGTGGGAAGCATGGAGTGTAATCACACACAAACACGCAAAGAGACTCATACTCAATATATTGTGTGATGCTTCTGATCCTAGCTATCAACATGATATTGAGCTCACTCACAAGTAAACTAAGCAAACCCATGATGAACTTCTTTTGTCGTTCTATTTTGGGTTTAGAGTGATAGTAAACCTGCGGAGAAAACCTATTCAGGTAGGAGGTTAGATGAAGGGGGACCCCAACCTTGTACAGATTTCCACGCTTTTGCTTCTTCAGCCGGTTTTGTGTCAGACCAGGGTTGGGCAAACGACAAAATCCACGAAATTCGCGCCACTCACTAGTTGGGATTGGCGATGTATCCCAATAGGGTCTCATCAATCCAATGGTTTGGTCCATCAGTATGCGTTTCACATTCAGGCACCGTTGGTGCTTCGCTGCCACTGGGTGAAGCCCCTCTGAAGAAACCTATTTGGGTTCAAAATCTGTCCTCAATCCTCATGCTAGATGTCCTAGTCGGACTAGAGCTGGGGAACTCTCCAAGAAACAAGCCATGCTGGAAGTGGGAGGAAACTCCAAGGTAATTGTTGGCTAGTGCCCCATGTGCCTAGACCTTCCAGCGGTACATCAACAATGATATCGACCACGAAGGGCTGGCGGGCGAGGTTGCCTCTTGGCTTGGTTTGTCTCTGGGTTGGGTTCCTTTTGGTTTCCATTCAAGACAAACCCTGAAGGTTGCCGAAATATGCCACATGTCTTGGAGAGGCCACGTGCGATGGGCTTCTGGGAGACGATTCACTGTCACTCAGAGGTTGTTTCAAAGCCCGTATGGCAGATGGGGGATTTGGGGCAAGTTGACAATAGCAAAAATTATTTTCACTCATTCATATTGGGTTGTCTCAAAACAAGGGATCCCCCAAAATGGGTGGTTTCCCTTTGGTCTCCATTCAAAACCACCCAAAAAGGTACCCTCAAAAAGACACACCCATATGTATATATATATATATACACATACTATACACGCTATTTCCTAGTTTTCATGTGGTTTGCTGCATTTGCATGCCATTCCAGACAGGACATTGCCGATTTTGGAGCAGGCAGACTCTTCTTTGGATGCTTCCTGTTCGGCGTTAAGGTTGACATTTTAGCTGATCGATCAAGTTCCTTTTTTGGTGTTGTGTTTGACTACTCGAGGTGTTTACACTTTTCCAAACAACAAACAACATGAGAGGCCCCATGTGGGCACAGGTCAGGATCTGGAGTGGGGTCTGGCAGTTTGTTTGTTTCACGCGAGGTTTTATATAATTTTGCCCACAAAGCACAAAGCTCGAGTTTTCCGAACAACCCAGAAATAGCAGTGCTTGAGGCTTTTCAAACTGTTCAAACGCATGCACAAAACCCGAGTTTTATCAAGACACAACATGGCAGACCCCATGTGAGCGGCTCTGGAGCCATGGGGTCTGTTTTTTTTTTTTTTTTGAAACTCGAGGGTTTTCTAATCTGGGTCTACTTTTTTTTTACGCATATATATATATATATATTCCTAAACACTTGTTGTGGTTTTGACAGAATGCAGGGTTTCAGGACGAGCCATTCTGCAAAAATAAAGCATGTCAGCCATATTGCAAGATGGCCGACCTTCAGAGGGGTCGATCCGACCTCCCGACATCGGCCGAGTCCATCATCGATGGCCAGCTGAACGAGGCGCGGCAGTTTGTGGGCACCGCGGTGATGGAGCCAAGGCGCGGCAAGACTGGGTCTAAATGGAACCAAATGAGATGGGCCAAATGGGTGGGCCAAGCGGGTATGTCCTTTCAGGCAACGGTACAAAGGGAGACATTTTGAGGGGTGTCCCTACTTTGAAAGCCAAAACGGGGGATGATGGTGTCAAAATGAATGGGATCCCTGCGGAACATCAAGAGGCCTGGTTGGCTGTGTGGGTCGGATGTGGTTGGATCCTTTCCCAAAGATTTCGGGGTCAATTCCACTGGGCACATCTGCGCGTGGGGTCGGGGTCGGGGGATAGCAGCAAGTGGCCATGAAGTTTCCCTTCTCGAGGACGCCCAGAAATTAGACTGGCGAATTGGTTCGAATGCTTTTTGCCATATGCCATCTGAGCCTTTCCTCCGGCCCATCATGCCATCTGGTTCTGGCTCTGCGCATTCGGTTTTCTGGCGCTTGGAGTGGCAGAGGTTCTGGCGACCGAACTTCAACTCCATTCTCTTTGAGGATGTCGTGGCTCTTGAGCGGCAAGAGGGTGCCATGCCGCGGATCGAACCGACGAAACATGGTGTGTTTTCCTTAGCCTGCCATACCATACCTGCGTAATAGGAGGCTTGACAGGGAAACCAATGCCTAAAGGGGAGCGTCTGATTTTGACACATTCATTTGATTGACAGAACTTGCGACTTTGGAAGTGAGATGGGCAGGAACCCTGCCAATGGCAACAGCTGTTGGCAGAATCCTTGCTGGAGGGACTACCAGTCATGAAGCAAAGAGTCCGGATCAAGTCAGCAGCGCAGCAGCAGGTATCCGCAAAGCATTTGTTTCTTTTGCGGAGTGCAGTACAAAGTTCAAGGGGGGCTAGACATCCAGTCCACGAAGGACCCGCAAAACATAGGGTTGTCTTGAGTTTTGAGAAAACTCTCGTGGTTTTGGGTTGCCATGCAGCTAGAAGAGCGCATCGAAGACAATGATCGGAACATCTCAGCTTGATCACATCTTCTTGCGGCCGGGCCTTTGCGACCTCCGCGGTGAGCTGAGGCCACGTACAAGATCCTCTGCACCCAAATTCTGAAGTGGCTTGGCCGAGCCCGGCGAAGTTGCCACCGTCGGAGGTTCGAGCGATTGGATTGGATGCTGGTTCTGGAGGTATGGGAAGCCACCCGAAGGTCTAAACCGCCAATCCAAGCCACCAATCAGAGGGAAGCTGAGAGGTACTTTTTCTGCAAGTCAAGATCACACGAATCACACTTCCCATGGCATGCCGACCGGAAAGCTGGGGGTTGGCACGAAAAGCATACGGATGAAATGCACGCCCGGACGCAAAGCCATGGCTGATTTCTGCCCGCGGAAGGCAGGACAGAGAGTTTTTCGGCTTTTTACCCAGCCCCTTTTGTTGCCTTATGGGAAAGTTAGAAGTTATGGTGCTATTGATCGCACGCTCTCGCCGATTGACGCGCATGCCCGCGCCCAGGGTCAGCAAGGTCTTGGAGGATGACAAGCAGTTCCTCCTCGACTCCCTTCCGAGCTTCTCACAACTGAGGACGGTCTCGACTCGAGAAATTTCGCCCGCGTTCCGCGGGCGTGCAGAGCATGTCCCAAAGTCAGGCAACTGAGACTAAGAGGCAGCTTGAGTACAAAGTTGACCTTTGGCCTTGCAACTGTGAGTACGCGTTTTCCCACCGCCAAAGGCACCATCAAAGTTTTCCATATCCGTTGTGAGACCAAGCTCTATTCGGCGGCTCGGAAAGTAGGAGTTTCTTTGTTGGCATCTAGATTCCACACGCAGGAGATGAATCCGACAATCCTCCTGAGGGCTTGCAGTCTCATAGCTTCAAGACGCAAGCAGAACATTGCCATTGAACGAATACCTTGCTGGTGCTCAGTAGGGAATGAACCTAACAATTCCCTTGAAGAGGGATGGTTTATAGGTCATTCCCTCATTCGCAGCCTCAACAAGGAAGCGGATTTATTTTCACTAGAAGATCATTTCCCATTTCCTGCTTGAAGGGACTGTTTCATGGCCAGTGTGGCGCACACTCACAGCCACAACATCGGCGCATTTGTTTCTCGGCTCAGCTTGTAAGAGCGCCTTTACCCAAGTGTTCCAGCTTCTTCCCAATGCGGCGCTTTGAAAAACACATACACACGCAAACAACACGAAGATGACGTCAGCAATGCAGCTCCATTCACGGGCCGGATGTGACATTTGCTGTCCTCGCTCAAAGCATTCTTTTCAGGGTTGCTCTGAGCCGTCCAAAGATGACTAACCCACCACAACAGCTTCGGCTTTCCGGCGAAATGTCCACCCTTAGGACTACACGGTTCTCCCAGAAACGAAGCGTCTGAGGGCTGGTCAGGCAACTTTCGGGATAAAAAACGGGCCTCGTTTGCACGCGCGAGGGAACAGATGTTCTTGTGCCTGAACGAGACCAGCAACATCTCCCTGGCATGCGTGGCGTTGCCCGGCCGCACGCGTTCGCTCGTGCTCGCTCGTGCAACAATGCCTGAACATGCGATTTTGACTCCTTCAGCCGGCATTCTTGGTGTTATGCCCCCACAAGGCCCTGAACCCTTATGCATGTTCCCTTTCCAGCTTGAGGAATGCCAGTGTGTTTGCTTTTAGAGGGTCGCACCGTTTTTTTTTCATGCGGACTATCATTGATATGGAAGCACGCTGAGGTAGTAAGTCACCAGACAGCACAAGCGCACGAGCCGCATGTTTTTGGAATGGCGCGGGCTCAGTCATCAAAGCAATACAGTTTTTAAATATATGGCCCTCTTCTTGCGGTACCAGACCCCACAGCCCATGTACGCGCTTCCTTCCACTAGCATGGCACTTGTGGGAGCCTACCTTGAAGATAAGTTGCCTCTTGAAGCATACATATCTTGAAGGCCCTTTGTCAGATGCCATGTTAGTGGGAGGAAGGGTGCCCTTTCGGACAGTTGCTCATGTCTTTCCCTTCAGATTTTCTACCTGCCCGTTGCCATGTGGCATCCCAGGCACGATGAGCAAGGGCTGGCATCCATGGTGAACAAGAAGGTGAAGTCCGATTCGCGGATTATTGCCCCTCGGCTTCCGGCTTCCGGAGCAGTGGAAGCTTCCGGCCGGTGCTATCCGTGGCCCACCTTGCGACATGCGTTTGGACGGTTTGGATGGCGATGGTTCCAGTGTAGGGATTTTCAGGGTAGCCAGGGCCGGTGGGCCCGTATTGATGTTTCACTCCGCAATTCATCAGAAGTTGGTTTGGCTTTGTGGAGGCTGGGACACGCAACGCTACTGGAACATGTGAACTCCTTGATCTTTTTAATACCAAGTCACTCTGAACTACATGCAAATATAATAGGTGCGTTGTTTGTCAATGGTGCGCTTTTTAGGGTTTCAAAGGGAATTCGCAGGAACGCCACCTGTTCTTGGGTCTTCCCTCAAAAACTAGACGACGGGTGGCTAGCAACGGTGATTGCAAAGCAATGCCAACACCAAAAGCATGTCAAGAAGAATACCCATGCTTTGTTGCACCCCCATGCACACTGCCATCAGCCAGTAATTCTCAAGGGGAAGCGCGTGAATTCGCTCCACCTGTATCTTGCTCAAGTTCATCTTGCTCAAGTTCATCTTGCGCGAGTGCATTTAGCCCGTTTGTATCTTGTGCGTTTGTATCTTGCTCGAGTGAAGTTTGCTCATTATGTATATATATATATATATATATCCATGTACAAGCGCATATACACATGCACATACACATACATATACATATACATTTTCATGCACATACACCTACATGCATTGCATTGCGTTTACGTTACCTCACCTCACCTCACCTCACTCACCTCACCTCACCTCACCTCACCTTACCTCACCTCACCTTACATACATACATAAATACATACACAGAGTACAGTACAGTACAGTACAGTACAGCACAGTACAGTACAGTACATACAGTACATACATTACATACAGTACATTCACTACACTACCTTGCCTTCCCTTGCCTTCCCGTACCTTACATCACATTGCGGTACATTCTATTACATTACATCACGGTACATTCTATTGCATTACATTACGGTACATTCTATTGCATTACATTGCATTGCATTGCATTGCATTACCTGCCTAGCTACATGCATACATACATACATACAACCAAACAAACATACGCACGCACACACACACACACACACACACACACACACACGCACGCACGCACATACATACATACCTACATACGTACGTTCGTGCGTACATACACATACATACATACATACATACCTACCTACCTACATACATACATACATACATACACACACATACATACATGCATACATACATACATACATGCATGCATGCATGCATACATACATTGCATACATACACACACAGACATACATACATACATACATACATACATACATACATACACATATATATATATATATGTATATGCATTCATACATACATACATGCACACATACATGCACACATACATACATGCATGCATGCATACATACATACATACATACATGAACACATATATGCACACATACATGCACACATACATACATGCATACATACATACATACATTACATTACATTACGTTACGTTACGGTACGTTACAATACATTATATTACATACATACACATACATACATACATGCATGCATACATACATACATACAGTACATTACATTACATTACATTACATTGCATTGCATTGCATTACATACATACATACATACATACATACATACATACATACATACATACATACATACATACATACATACATAGACATACGTACATACATACATACAGACAGACAGACAGACATACATACAGACAGACAGACATACATACATACACATACATACGTACGTACATACATACAGACAGACAGACATACATACAGACAGACAGACAGACATACATACATACATACATACATGCATGCATACATACATGCATGCAAGCATGCATGCATGCATGCATACATACATTACATACATACATACACACACAGACATACATACATACATACATACATACATACATACATACATACATACATACATACATACATACATACATACATACACACAGACATACATAAATACATACAGACAGACAGACAGACAGACAAACAGACAGACATATATAGACAGACAGACATACATACAGACAGACAGACAGACAGACAGACATGCGACTTACATACATAAATACATTCATTCATTCATTCATACATACACACATTCATACATACATACATACATACAGACAGACAGACAGACAGACAGACAGACAGACAGACAGACCGACAGACAGACAGACAGACAGACAGACAGACAGACAGACAGACAGACAGACATACGACATACATACATACATACATAAAACATACATACATACATGCATACATACATACATACATACATACATACATACATACATACATACACACGTACATACATACACACATATACATACATACATACATACATACATACATACATACATACATACCTACATACCTACCTACCTACCTACCTACCTACCTACCTACCTACCTACCTACATACATCCATGCATACATACATACATACATACATACATACATACATACATACATACATACACACATACATACATACAATATTATTCATTGTGTTTGCTCAATTCTTTCTGGCTCATGCGCATTTGCCTCGATCGTATGTTGCTTGCCTGTGACTCGCTCAGGTATATATTGCTCAACTAGCCCGTGCTAGAACTCTTGTGAGTGATTCCTGCTCAAGTGTATCCTGCTCATGTTAACCCTGCTCAGGCAAGTCTTGCTCATGTCTATCTTGCCCAAACTCGTCTTCCAGAGTCTTGCCGATGTACATATCTTGCGTGAACAAGCCTTCGCATTTGAATCTTGTCGGGGTAAACCGCACGCGCTCTTCGCAAGAATGCGATTTGCTTTGCATACTCCTTCCGTACTGAGCAACACAAATATTCGAGCCGAAGCCAAGAACCAGGGCTTTGAGCGAATTGCTCACGTGATCGATGCAAAGGGCTCACCGAAATGCATGTGAATTATCCATCTGTGCTGATGAGCAAGGGCAATCCATCGTCCCGCGTGTCGTCCTGATGCCGCCCGTTCAGCGCAAGCGCGCAAGCCACGACACAATCCGTGTTGACGAATAAGAGCTCTCCACATCCTTCCGCTAGATTATGACCGTTCCTGCCATCGATGTGCTGGCGCGGGGGGACAAACTTTGGGCCCCTGCAAAGTAGCGAAGGCGATGAGTCTTTCGTGATCCTCGAGGTCCGTCCCGGATCAATATGAATGCACAAAAACATGAGCTTCCGGACACTGACACGCGCGTTTTACACAGATGTTTCATGCAGGATCAAGACAAACGTAGGCTTTTCGATGGCTCATGCCGGCCCCATCCAGCTCCAATGAAAGACGTGAGAAGCGACATGTTTGATTGACAGCTATACTCAGATAGTTATATTATACAGAACTCAGGCAGTGTACAGAGGGCTCTGAGGCAGTGCACATTGGGCTAGGTGATTGACGGCAATGCTGAGGCAGTGATATAGAAGCGCAAGACGGTGATATGAGACTGCGATTTGAGGCCGTGGCACTAAGCGGCTGTTTTTAGAAGAAGAAGAAGAAGAAGAAGAAGAAGAAGAAACGTGAGCAGTTCCACTGCAGTGGTACCCAGGATTGCCAGGTCATCTTTTGTCCGAGAAACATTGCGTTACTCCATGCCATCGCCTAAAAAGACAAACTTTAAAAACGTCAAAGGCGTCCCCCATCTCAAGGAGGTTTTCCTGTTTAGGGTCATTTGGGGCCAAGCACTTGGGCCCGCCTTCCACCAGTGCAAAGAGGGCTGGGTTCCTTTTCAGTGTCTAAACTTTCGGAGCCCAAAACGAGGCCTTGCGGATACCCTTTCAAGGTGAAAAGGACACAGCCCTCAAAACGAAAAACAAATCCCCAAAAAAACAACGAGGACAAAAAACAAAAACAACCCAAAATACATCCGCACCCCAAAAGAACACACCCATTTCGGTCAGTCGCTCTGAGGACATGCTGGTTGCTGCCGGGGCCTCGGCTCGGCTCCGAACATGGCTCGAGTTTCGTCGAATCTGAGTTGGGTGGGTGAAGCTGACTGCATGAAGCAGGTTAAAAAAAACAAAACAATAAACAACATGTGTTTTTTCAACAAGATCCAGTTTGAGAATCATGTACCTGTTTGACTGACTCATGTACCTCTTTGAGTTTCGGGTGAGCTCGCTAGCCCAGGTGGACAGGTGGGTTATGGAAGACTTTGGACACAGGAAAGCCCTTGAAAGCGTGGCAGCTTGCGCGCGCAAATGACTCAGTTGGATCAACTTCTCCCTGCGAAGATTTGGACCAAATTCTGCACCAGCCTGGAATGATTCGTTTCCCTGTAAATACCAACAAAGGTTATGGTTTCAACCTTTGGGTTGGCATCCAGGAAAGCCAAGGAATCGGTATGCACTTTCACTCATAGATCAGCGTGAGCCTTTTTGCGCACAGATCTAGGCCCATGAAAATGCCGGTCTCTCTGGCCCTTTTGTTTTTGCCGGTTTCCTGTCCAGATTGTGTGGTCCCCTTCTGTCTTTCGGCCTTTCTCTCTTTCTCTCTTTCATTGTTATTCTTCTCGCTCTCTCTCTCTCTCTCCCTCTCTTTCTCGCTCTGTCTCTCTGTCTCTTTGTTTTTCTTCTTCTTTTTCTTATTCTTTCTTTCTTCCTGGCTTTCTTTCTTTCTTTCTTCTTTCTTTCTGGCTTTCTTTCTTTCTTTCTTTCTTTCTTTCTTTATTTCTTTCTTTCTTTCTTCTTTCTTTCTTTCTGGCCTCCTTTCTGGCCTTCTTTCTTTCTTGCTTTCTTTCTTTCTTGCTTGCTTGCTTGCTGGCAGTCTTTCTTTCCATTTCTTTATTTTTCTTTCCTTTTCGATGTTCCTTCTTTTTTATTTCTTTGTTTCTCTCTTGATTCTTTCTTTCTTTCTCTCTTGATTCTTTCTTTCTTTCTTTCTTTCTTTCTTTCTTTGATTCTTTCTGTCTTTCTTTCTTTCTTTCTTTCTTTCTTTTTTCTTTCTTTCTTTGATTCTTTCTGTCTTTCTTTCTTTCTTTCTTTCTTTCTTTCTTTCTTTCTTTCTTTCTTTTCGGCTTGTCCTTGCGCAGGACATGAACTCGCAGACACAGCCGCCACCCGTCAAGGAGCGACACTTTCGGCTTTGAGTGTTGTCAAGCGATCAAGTGACCTTTGCTTAATGAGACTTCAGAGGCATGTTCTGAAACCAAGCACATGGTAGCACACGCGAGGCATTTTGAGGCCGGTCCACAAACCATGAAGAGAATGATCTTCACTGTAGTCAAATGGTTTTCCATGTTCCCAACATCGATCGGACAACGTGCACTGAGGCGCTGTTCCTTATGTGCGCAAACACGTTTTTGTTGCGCCAGGTAGAATGACGGAAGCTGTTTTTGGCCTAACCCTGGCACACACCTGCAAAAACAAAACTCTGGAACCCTACAAGACTGGGGCAAGATAGCCGAAATAGCCAGACTGACAAGAACCCGGACACCTTACAAGCAAAACTCGCCCCGAACCCGGAAACCCACCCACAACCCTCCCCAATACAGACAATGCCATCACATTCGGAGGACCGAGACGGCGAGATGCACGTTCTCCCTGACAGCCGTCGCTGCGCACCCTGGCAACGGTTGAGCGACATGTTTCTCCTGTTGAGAGTCCTGCGACCTGCAGAGTTTCCTACAACATCATGTCTAACACTAAACTGCATGTCTTGTCGTTGAGATTCTCTTCGTGCAAATTCCCATAGATTCAATTCACGCATCAACGGTCGGCTGAGATGAAGCAGCCTAGAGATGGAATGGCAGTCAACCCAATTCATGCCCTCATTGTTCCGGGTCGCAAAAAGATATGGCCCAAGCTGAGTCTTCAACTTGCCTGCCTCCTATTGCCTCCGATTCCTCAGGACCTCAACGCAGGAGGCTTCTCGCCCTTGCTGTTCGCTGCTTTAGTCCTTGGGTTTCTTGCAGAGATGGCGAGCTTCCCTCCGAGTTCTTGGAGTCTTTTGTTTTCTTCGTTTTTTCCCCAACAGCTGAAAGCTTTGGGGTCTCAGCCCAGATAGGCTGCGGGGTGGTCCGGGGCGGCCCTGAGGTAAGGTTTCACGAGGGTTCCACCAGGGTTCCACCAGGGTTCCACCAGGGTTCCACGAGGGTTCCACGAGGGTTCCACGAGGGTTCCACGAGGTTCTGCGAGGGGTGCGGGGTGGTGCGAGCACTAAAAAGAGCACCGCATGCTGTTGGGGATATCACCTGAGCTTATGTTTTTTCCGCGTAAGTTGAACACTTGGGGGGCAATGCCTTGGTCGGAATACTTCCTCGAGCAAAGCGAGTGCCATGTTTGGCAGAGTCATTGCCACGTTGTAAAACGTACCACCTTATCAAGGCGTTCCAAAGAGAGGTCTATGATGTGACCCCCGACAACATTTGCGGCTTCAATCCAGGTTTTCTTGATCCCGGAAGTTTCCTGACACCATGTCTCCTCTGTGATCCCGTCTTTGAAGAACAAATGCAGCAAGAGGTGACCTCATTTGTGGGCTCGACGGTTTCGAAGGCCTCTGGAATCGAGAAGGACTCTTCTTCTAACCCAACTTTAGCCCAGCTTTTGGGTCCAAAATGTCTCTGTCCAGCTGCGGGAGCTCAGGCGACGGCGACCATGATCCAGCCACTTGGTCAAGAGAAAGCGGTTTTCTCTGTGTCCCCCACCTTCCGGGTGGACCATTTCTGACCACAGAACCCGGCCGGAGCGATCCAGACATCAAACTTGGTGCTGAGGTTCAATCCTTTTGGACATCATGTACAGACATACCAATGATGTCCCTACCAATGATGACATCCGGGTAGCCGCAGCCAAAGCGTTCTTTCCCTACCAATGTACCCTCAAACTACCCGGAGAGGACATGCATACCATACCCACTAGTACCCGAAGCGGAAGCAGAGAGACGAGCAATGCATGGGCTTGTCTTTAAATGGGGGAACCTTCACAATGGCGCTGGCTCCTCTTGCTTTCCTTCACAATCACCCTTAAAAGGGTACTCACACAATAGTCACGCCTGTATTGTGTAATGCTTATGTAACATGCCTGTTTTCATTCTCCATGTGTTGTGGTTTTGGGGCTAGCCCCCCTAAGAGTGTCCAACCCACACTTTAAGCCTGCATCGGGAAAATTTCCAGCAATGAACTTCTGGAACCCCCAGCAATGACCCCACAAAACATGCGGCCGAGCTAAGATAGCTGCGAGAAACAGGTCCGTTCTCAAAAAGGCAAAAAGTCCTTTGTCCAACGTGTGGACAAAAAAAGGTTTTGGAAGATGGCCGCCCTCTGGGCCCCAAACGTCCGCTTCTATCTCGTCACAAAAAGGGCACACCTTTGGCAAGCTTCGCAGGTGGTTGCGGCAGATCTCACTGAGTGCGCCTCACGCGGCTTTTTTTTTTTGTAGAGATGCACCTGCTTTGGTCAGCATCTTGTAAACGCATCAAAGCTTGGGCCAGAGCCATTTTTCTAGGGGTTGATCCCCCCCTCTTTTCGACCATCGTTCTTTTCAATCACCGGCTGTGTCCCATGGGTTTTGAGGGTTTCCTGAAAAGATCCGGATCCCTGGAAAGGATGGGGAAGCTTCTAGAATTTCAAAGACTTCCATCAGCGCCAAAGTTGTGCCGAGCCGTTCTGAACGGCTGCATGGTTGAGTTCCGCGGCGGCCAGGGTTCTTACTTGGCCCTTCCGGGTCCCTGCCGATTCTGGTGGACCACGGGCAATTGCTGAAAGTGATGGGAAGGGGACAGGAATTTGATTGGGGTTAAAAAAAACAGTGGTGTCCCCCCCACATGACACTGCAAGATCAGCCCTTCGACCACTTGACTGCGCACAAGCGGGATTTTCAGATACTGCTTGCAAGAGTGGGACGTGAACGCTTGGAAACACTACGCAGATACACTTCGGCCTGTGTTTTTGAAGGAACCATCAGCATGGTGACTTTCCCCTTCACCCTCCAGACAAATAAATATCCTTTGCACGGCGCGATTTGAAGATAGAAATCGCCTGCCCGGAGCAGAGGTCCATGATGAATGCATCTTGGCTGAGAGGGAGGAGCCGGCGGATGAACCAGCCTGGATTAGAAAGAGTTTTGCTCATGATTTGGATCCCGAATGGCAAACCTCTTTCATGAGCCAGCGGTTTAGAAAGCCTGTAGTGGTAAACCCAGCGATTTTTCACCCATTCATTACATTTCATGAGCCATTGTTGACAAACACCACAATAGAAACTGCATATCTTGACCGTGGCTCGTCCAAACCTCTGTAAAAGCATCTTGGCTGTCTGGCCGTCCATGTGTCTTGTTGTTCTAGGAAAGGCGACCAGCAATGAATCCAAGTCTCTTGGAATTGGACAGTTGCTTGATGCATCTGTGGAACATGCTCCCTCCATCCTTTTGTCAGGCCCTCATCTGGGTGCTTCTTTTTTGTGTACAGCCTGGCACTTCTGGGCTGCAACGGGAAGCTGGGCCAACCATAACTTCATGAGCTTACCCATGAGGAGGCTCCTTGACTTGCGGTTTTTCTGTCAGTCCGGTTTTGGGAATTATTTATCATAGTGACTTGCCCAGATGTGGTTTGTGGGTGTGAAAGCAAACCCATTTTTGCCCAGAAACCGTCGAGTCATTCAGCTCAGGGCATGCGAAACTTGCAGCTGAAGAGCCGGGCCCCAAGCGGTGGATCTGGGCGAGCATGCTGTGGGCAGGCCAAGGTGCCTAGGAATTCCGCTGGAAGGAATACCCTCAAGCATGGTGGACAAACAAGTGGCCTGGACTGGATGTCCACCAAGGGATCCCGCATCCAAATTCATAGCGAAATTAATTTCCCATTCTCCACCAGAGTGCCCCAAACGCATTTTTCCACGACGGAGGCGCTTGCTTGACGTCGTTTTGTGGAAGATAGCAAGAGATGAACGATCAACATCCTAGACCGCACATTAATTTCTCGGCACTGAAACTTGATTGACCTATCTTATTTGCCCGTAATTACTACCCTGTTTTGATTTGACCTTGGATATTTTACTTTGTTTGCATATCCATGTTGTTTTGATATTGTATCTTATCGAGATGTTCCTTTTTTTTTTTTCGTACTCTCAGGGTCATCCGAGACCTTCGAACGGGGCAACCCCAGATAGGTTGCAGGATCTCTGGACTAGGAAAGGAACACGGGACGATCTCATTTTTCCATGTCTGTCGAAGTCAAAGGATAGCTGGATTCAGAAAGCCGGGGTGTCCCATAGGCAATCCTGCTCTCACAAACTGCCAAGATCGACACTCAGGAAGCCGTGTCTGGGACTGGGGAAACCTGGCACAGCGTTGCAAACTCCGACAATGCGTAAGACAATGCAAGCTTGCGACTACGAGTCTTCCCTGCGTGCACCGAATTGACATGTCCTTGATTTCGCCCGAGGTGTATCGGAGAAGAACATGCTTTGAGCAGGCGATCAATCACTTGCTTACCGGACACTCTCTTTCTCGTGGCGCTGCACCAGAATGGGCTGAGTATTAGTGTGATGTTTGGCGGTTGCGGGTGCGCCGCTTAACTGGACACTTGGGGCCGGGTTGGGTTCGAGACACGCAGAACTGGACACTGGATATCACTAGCCACGGGATGGAGTGAGCCAATGATTATTTGGATTTTGGCGAATGTATCGCAGAGATCAGGGCCAACCTTGACTTAACCTGTCGCTAAACTGCTACACCAAAAGGTAAGTTGGGGTGGCCCTATCTAGAGATCAGTGACTCGGAGACTGCAGAGAAGTGTCGCCAGTCCCTGCAATTGCGGGAGGCATGGCGTTCGGAGATGGTCTGGCCCCTTCTGCAGCTGGGCCGAGTCATAGATCAGCATAATTCAAGCTATGACTATGAAGTCGCAAAGAGCACCAGTCCGAAGACTTGACAGGCGAAGAAAAGGAATGGAGTGGTAGACTGTCTGGTTTTGCGGACGAGCAAATGAACAGGGGTTATGTAGGGGCCTACTTCGGGCCCAAAATCCATGAGGGTTCTTGTGGGTGATTTTGACAGGATGGCTCGGGACGAAGAGCCTCTCTGTACTTCCCTTTTGCAAACATAGGCGCTTGGAAACGGGTGGTTTCCTTTTCTCTCTCAAATTATCCATAAGGGGCGTCCTGACGTTTCCTGCCTCGCCGTGTTCGAGGCAGCTGCCGGGTTTGCGGTCTCCCGAGTTAAGAGCTGTTTTTGGCCGAGGATTTGTCACCCGAGTCCATTTCAGGGACTGAGCTCAATGAAATCTGTACAGGAAACCACCAATGTTTTGGTTTCCAACCCTGTGCGTGTGTGCGTGCAAGCGCGCGGGCGGGCGGGCGGGCGGGTGGGCTTGCGGGTGTGTGTGTGTGTGTGTGTGTGTGTGTGTGTGTGTGGGTGTGGGTGTGGGTGTCAGCTGTGTGTGGGTCCTCAGTCCATGCGGGCACTTTCTCCCGATTTTCCAATCTTGACGGCAGGGGACTGGGCATGGTTGAGGAGAAAAGGGCAGCCCCATGTGCTGGGCAGGTGCTGTCAAGTTTTACAGGCTCGCATCAGATGAGGCCATCCATGGACAGATCGGACACATGTTTTAGTGGGTCGAGTGCAGCTAGGCCTTGTCCTGACAGCATTTAGCATGGATTTTTGCCTGTTTGTGCGGAGATTTGCGCATCCAAACTGCAGAGTGTTTTGCTTTTGCTGCAAAAGGCAACCCTGATGGTAAACGGGCCCATCATTCTCTCAGTCTTGATTTCTTTCGACACGAGTTGCAAAGTCTGGAGGGTGGCCCGTTTCCACTTGGCTATGTATTTGTGGCAAAGGAGCCACCCAAAAGTGGTTGGTGGACACAAATCCCCACTGACATATTCCTTTCAAACTTCACTCCCATTTTTTCCTTTGATCGTGCCCATGCCTTAGTGCCTTTTCGTGCCATGCCATTTGGGAGCAGCGGAAGCAGGCCGGGCACGGGGCATACAGCTGAAGTAGCAATTTGCCACATTCTCGCTTCATCCTCCTTCCTGCTCTAAGTTCAGGATGTTCAGGCTCAAAATGAGACGTTTGCTTCTTATGGGAATGCGGACCTTCTCTTTGGACCAGGGCGGTACCTGCGCAAGTGCCCTTTCTGAGCTTGGAGTTGGTCTTGAAGATTCGCTCAGATGGACTGGATGACAGGCCTGGCTACTTGGGGTTGGGGATGGTCATCGAGTTTCTACGAATTCCTTTGCGGAGTTGGGCCGATTGAAACATGGCGCCTGCCATGAGTCATAACAATGAATCCCCTGCCACTGGAGCCTTGGCAACTTGGAGTCTCGGCTCTGCGCACTTTTCCAGGCAAACACGCGCGGGCAACCCCGATCAGCCCTCCCGGATGATCCATTGGTCAATAGAAAAGTCCAGCCATGCTCCACTGGAGGACAGATGGTCAACAAACGTGATTGGGGTTCTCTTTTCTTCCCTTCTAGATGCAGTTGTTCACTTCCTAGAACGCGCGGCTTTTGATCAGAGACTTGAATTCCTAAAGTGTTTGAGAGGAAAGGGATGGGAAGGATGTAACATGAGGGCAGGAACAGTTGAGCACTGTCCTCTTCAACTTCTTGCATATGCTGCTCAACCTTCACCCTGTCACATTGTGGATATTTAATATTTTGTGCAGCTTGTTGTACTGGGACAACTTGGGGATGATTGACTTGTCAGTCAAAGCTGCTTGTGAGCAATTAGAGGGCCATGCCTTCTTTGAGAGATCCCTTTTGTTCATGTTTAGGGAAACCAAAAGGAGAATCACGATCTTTGGGTGCTATTGAGACAAACCTACACTGGAAATTGATCGAGCCCAGACGCCTGGCGGCACTGCTACTTCTTCTTGGACCCTGCTGGCTGGGTGTCAGCCGAAGCCTTAGGTGTGGATCTCCACCAAGCTCAGATGTGCAATGGTCAAAACACCCCTTTGCTCGGGAGCAGGGATGGTCATCCACCTGGTAGTAGGGATCCTTAATAACCATTATGATGGTTCCTATTGAGCGCCTTCCTGTGGATTTGGCTGCCGGGTTGTCTCCGGCGGGTCGGCGGGCGTTTTGGGCGCCATGCCTCCTCGGTCCAGTGGAGATGACGCACGAATCGAGAGCGAGGTATGGTGGCAATTCGCCACACAACAGCTTTGCCCCCCTGGGTTCGGGGAGATTTGTTACCGGTGTTCTTTTGATTCTTTGCTTTTTCGTTTCCTGTGTGTTTATCCAACCCAATATTGAAGCGGTCGGGCAACAGAGGGTTGCCATGCTTTGGCCATTCCAGGATCAGATTGGACATCGTGGTATATATTTCCAGATGTGGGTACGAAGTCAAAGCAATGCAGTTCACTTCGTCGCGTGCAGATTGGTTCGAAGGCTGTGAGGCAAGTGGGCCTCAGGCCAGGACGCTCGTGGGCTTTCTCTGGCCAATCAGGGCGGCGGCGCGTGCTTCTGGAGGGCACTGGGGCAGGCTACTGGAAATGGTCGGTCCCGGCGCAATTTGAAGAAGCAGATCTTGGCAGGACAGCCAGATGATTGGAGGAAGGGACGCAAATGGGCTGATGAGAGCGCCATTCAACGAGCTGCTGATTTTCTTCATTGCGAAATTCGTAACGCACGATGCAACGGAGTGGGTGGATGTGCTTTGCGCGCCGAAGAAATTGTATTCCTGCCCTCAGATGGGATCGTTGATCAGACAATCACTATCCGACACTGGACGTCCCACTTTGAGTATATCAAGCAACTTCGCATTTACAGCAGCAGCAAGGTATACTCTTGGCAGGCGGCGGAAATGTTTGGGCTACGCACTGGCGAGTTTGACAAGCGCAGCATCATGGAGAAGGTCTGCTTCTGCTTCAGAAAAACAGATCCGACTGAAGAGGCGGCACTGGTGGAGGGAAAGGTAGCAACAAGGGGCTTCGCAAGCCATGACCACCCTTTGACAAATCAGCTGGTCACTTCCATCAAGCCTTGAGAAGGAAGCCTAGGAATTCGGCATGGATCCAGTATCTTCAAGTTTCGCCTCAAGCGAGTTCGGACCAAGGGCATCAAGTATATAGGGCTCGCAATGGAGCCTTGCTAACGCCTGCGTCTTGCCACACACTCAGGGACCATCTGCAAAATTTTGTTTACCTCAGGCATTAGCCGCATCATCGCCGTGATGCAGACCAATCCCGAATTTGCCGCACGCCAACTTGCTCAATGCCCAACACATGGTGGCAACTGACATATTTGCGCCGGCCTCACCGCCTCAATACGAAGAAGTTCAGATTGAGCAAGGGTCGGATGACGACAATTGGGGATGGTGGAAGGCTTGCAACCAGCGGCGTTCGCAACATTGCAACGAGCAGCGCACGATGCACAGCCCAGATGTACAGCTGACAACTGTGCAAGCAGCAGTACATACACCAGTGCCCCATGGAGGGATCATGGTAATCATCCAGCTAACCGGACGAGGTCACCGCTTCCACGGAACGGAAACGAGCCTGGTCGCGGTCTCCCTTGAATCGTTGGCCACGGATTCAAGCGAAAATGGCTGCTCGGCAGGGAGGCAAGATCTCTGGTTGTACGGATGGTAACACCCTGATTAGCCTGTCGGAGTCTGAAGCCGAGACCTATTTGTCGTCAACATCCCGTCATCAGATTATGATGAAAGTAGCTCCCGCTCGGTGCAGCTTTGGCGGCGTTATCAGCAGTCATCCTCGAGCAAGAACTTCAATACACTCGATCTTCTGAAGTGGGCATTAGTGAAAATCAAGAAGGGCAACCAGCGCAAAGGTGGATAGTGTGGCATGCTCTCCTCTCCCACGCCGTAAAGATGGGTACACTTGAGCAATCGGAGCAGGACACCATTGCTGAGAAGGAGGAGATCTGTACAGATGGAGAAGTCTTTGATCCGCAGGGAAAGCAGTTTCGGCCGAACCATTCAACGACTGGATTTGGATTTGGAACATTCCCTTCCTGGATCTCATTGCGCATGGACAAGGAAGCCTCGTTAAAATTGTTATTCGAAGAATTCTTGACAGGCGCCGAAGGCATTCCCGCTAAAATTTTCTTTGGTCTCGAGCGGTACATAACGACTCGAGGTCTCCTTGAAAGGCAGCCCCATATCCGTACTGATCGGCTCAAAGGGGGAAACAAGGTGGATATGGCCGCCCTTTCCCACATTCGACCTACCAGTAAAGATGGGACCATGATGAGACTTTAACTGATGCACCTGCCTTAGGTGTATTAGGCTTTTCCCTCTTGGCCCAGCTTGCCGCTTCTGGCAACTGCCAATACATGACGGGCTGAAAATTGCATGGGGTTCTCGGAAATTGCGTGTCACTCTCCGGGACATCAACGAGGGCGTTATAGACTGGAGTTTTGATGCGCATGTTTAGCAACTTGCAACGGAAACGTGCTCACGTCCTTGTTCCGGGAGCGAACCTTCCACAGCCCCGTACTTTTCGAACTTGGGGTGGACTTGTTACTGATCTTGCCATCGTCAAAGCCACTGAATTGCTCAAACTTTTCCTCATTGAGGCCGTGCCTTTGGACTTTCCTCTAGCTCTTGGACCTTAGGAAAGTACCAGGCACGAATCTGAGGATGAAGGTCAAGCACGCAATTAGGCGCCGAACGGCTCGCCTTGAGGTATGGTCCTCTCGGAGAACTTCATTGTTTTAGGCCACTTTGTGGTGTACGGACGGACCAGAGTGCGTCCTTTGCGGGTTCTGTGTCAAGTGGAAGGCACTGTGCACAGAGGTCTGTGAGACCAAGTGC